AATACAATTGTTAGGAAATTCCTTAATACTGACACTGACACAGACACACACATTTAATTTTAGTTTTGTTTTGGTTGCTATGCCTTGACTCTGGTCCGGCATAGTACACAGCCACCGGTTTAAACCGAGTATTACCTACTAAACCCAACATAATAATAATAAGCGCAGAGCCCAAACGGTTAGGAGTTGAAAGTTGAAATTTGGTACACATAGAGGGTACGTCACGAAAGTGCACACTAAGAAGGGATTTTTCGAAATTCCCCCCGGGGGAGAGAGACAGGCTTAAAACTTCTATATACATTATGGATACGAGCCCAAACGGTTAGGAGTTGAAAGTTGAAATTTGGTAGACAGTTAGGGTACGTTAGGAGAACGCACACTAAGAAGGGATTTTTCGAAATTCCTCCCCACAGGGGAGAGGGACAGGATTAAGGCTTAACACTTCCATCAACAATGAAAGTGCTAAGTAACAATGGAAGTGTTAAGTAACAATAAAAGTTTTAAGTAACAATGGAAGTGTCAACAATGGAAATGTTACGTAACAATGGAGTTGTTAAGAGAAAGCGACGTGCAATTCGCAGATGCAGTTTTTTTCATTTTTGCGGGAAATCTAACATATTTTTAGACCCATCTAAAAATTCTCTAATTAGTCTGGAAACAAGGGACCCAATTCTTGCATTCTGTGAAAACGGGTAAGGTTGACTGTAACGTAATAATCTTTATCTTAGTTATCGTTACTTTTGCCCGAACAACGCCGGGCCCACCTGCTAGTTTATGATATTTTTTGTTGCAAAGGAAAATGCCTCTAGAAATTAGCTTAAAAAGCACTTAAAATGGCCCCAGACCTAGCACTTGTTGGAAAAACTAAACTGAATCCATCAGGGAATTTGTTATGTCAAGACAATCTGTATTCAAGTAATAAGTTTTTAATACCGGGTCTTTTTTTTATGATTGTGTATATTAAATGATTAATGAGATAAACAGAAGATCTTTTGAAGATCCTTTATTGAATTGAATATCATTTTTAATAATTTATCACATGTTATACTTTATTTTAAAATGCTTTTACTTACCTTTTAAGCTTAGTGATTACGACTGGAAGTCAGAAAATAAAAATTATATGTAACACATTTCTATTTATATAGAACGAATGCTCCATATTCATTTGTATTTTCAACTTTTGTTGTAAACTTGTTACTGTATATACTACTTTTGTTTTGATTGATTTATTTATGTGTAATATCCTCTATAAGCCAAACTCTACCTGCCTGCAAGGTCTCACTGGTCACTCAAAAATCCAGTTACAACTGATTATATTTTATTTTAATCATATTTGATCAGTTGTAACTGGATTTTTGAGTGACCAGTGAGACCTTGCAGGCATGTAGTGTTCAGCTTATAGAGAATATTAAACATTAATACTGCAGTTCCCCATAAAGAAGTTTATGATTTATTTATATCTCATCTTAAAATGCATATAGTTTTATGTTTTTAGTTTGTTTAAATCTGTAAGAGCTTATTTGCAAATTATTTTAATTTGTGCAAAACTGTTTCATTTATCTGATACTTGTTAAACAAGTTTTAAAGATGTATAATCACTAAAAACACTTATTACTTGATAGGATGGGTTTTTTTTTTTGTATACGAACTTGTGTTTTTATGCATGATTTATTTAAAAAAATTACCTTCTCTATGGCTTCGACCACAGATTCTGGTAATGGCCCGCTATTTCCGATGCAAGTCATGCATCCGTATCCCACGATATCAAAGCTAAAATAAATATAGAGATGATATATTTTAATTAGTTCTATTTTTTTTATAAGTACTTTTTACACAATAAGTAAATATCTAACCCTAATTTTTCCAAATAAGGTGTGACTCCACTTTCGTTCAGATAATACGTTACAACTCCGCTTCCAGGTGACATGCTGGTTTTAACGTACGGAGCGACTGAGAGACCCATTTCCACGGCCTTTTTCGCTAGAAGTCCTAGATGCATATTTACAGACATTAATTATTGCTTAAATAAAAACAATCATATTAATGCATTTCTTAAAAACTAACAGGAATTAAATAGTATAAAAATCACATTCAATGGTAAATACAAAATAAGCCTCATGGCATATTATGTTCCAAGAAGTCTTTTTGGCAATACTGCTCAAAGGTTGCATTGGTTCAAATAAGTTTAATTTAAATGCTTGCTATTGGCGAAACCCATTTTTAAAGTTAATTTACATCTTCAAGATGATATTACGATACAATATTAAAACAAATATTATTGTATACGCAAGAAAAATAATGGAAATAGCCATAGAATACAACCTGTTTTCATAACTTTTTCTAATTTGTTGTTACTTACCAATACTTATTTCAAAAATTTTCCTTCCATAAAAAAAATCTTATCTCATTTCTTACTAGTCTAATCATCTAAATTGGTATTGATTCTCAAGACTGCATAATTCTCTTAAAGTTTCATTGTTTCATGCTTTTAGTAACCTTCTCCATTATAGATTTGAGAGAAATTGTGCATTCCTGTCTTAACTTTCCCTCTCTCAAAGAGCAAATTATCTACTTTGATAGACTATTTTAATGGTTTACTTACTCCTAATTACATATTCATCTGCCACCTTCTGATGGACATTCTCTTATGTTATAATATTTTCTCAACCCGTCCATTTGGCTCTCATCCAACATTTCATTTTTCTGATGTGCTATAAGGTCTGTCTCTGAAGTCAAAACTTATCACTATGTACAATTATTATTTCTCAGTTTTTACATTTATTGTTTTCTGTTGTTTTAAAGGAGGTCTCTCTCTGACAGCCATTCTACCTTCTCTATCTTACTTTGCAATAATAATAAATAAAATCTTAAAATTCAATTTTGAAATCATTGTGCCTTACGACTGAAGAAATATGTCTTCTGTATGATATCAATACAATATAATACGTTATAAATAATTTAGAAGTAATAAATGTGAAGTAATTATTGTAAAATAAGAATTAAATGAGAAATTCTATAAGAAGAAATTATTATACCTGCTCCTAGCATGACGGAAGGATTACTAGTATTTGTGCAACTGGTAATTGCAGCAATAACTACGGAACCGTGGCTTAATGTATATTCTTGATCATCAAAAATAAATGGAATGGTAGTGGCTAGTTTTTCCTGAGGTAAACCGTATCCTTTGAAACCAACCTAACAAAGAATTATTTTAAATTTTAAGAATTTTAAAAAGTAAACTGAAATATATATATATATATTAATATTCAAACCTTATTTTCTAAGCATTTCAAAAAGTCTTCTTTCGTTTTGCTAACAGCAACGCGATCGTGAGGTCTCTTCGGTCCGCTGACAGAAGACACTACGGTTGCCAGATCCAACTCTATTGTCTGAATAATAAATATATCCATGTATCATTTTCTATCAAACAGTCATTAATAGTTTAAAAACAGAATAAAAATATTATACTTCAGAAAATATGGGATCTTCGTTAGGATTGTTGTAATTGCGAAACATTTTTACGGCTCTTAAATAAGTTTCTGTATATTGCAGCATTTTTTCGTCTCTGCCTATAAAATGTAAATAGTAGTATCATCAGTTCTAATAATTAAAACTAGATAATTTATAATGATAGATGAATAATCATAGACTTTCTAGACTGATATTTATCGTCATCAACTCAGTAACATTTTTGTATTCTTAGATGTCTGCATTGAATACAATAGATGTTTCTGTGACATTTGGGTAAAGTGTATAAGCCTGTTTTTACTTAATTTAGATTGACACAGGGTGTCCAAAAAGTTACGGAGTAGTGAGAAATTTTCTAATGACAAAGATATATATATACAGTTTTTCCTACAAGACCAGTAAGTTGTCCATTAGATACCGATTGACCAATTATATGTATGGTATTGCACACAACTCATGGGTCTTGTATGCAATGCCATACTTCTAAATTTATTGTTGTTACAAATTTCTCATCAAACAGTAACTTTTTGGACACCCTGTACATCAACGAAAACAGATGCGTTTGCTCTAAAAGTGAGTAAAAGTACACGATAGAAATGCAATCTTTTGATTAAATACAAAAACACACCAATTTACGTTAGTCGGCAAAATTTTGAGACGTGTGCATACTTAAGTTAATTACATTTTACTCCAAATAACGATCTAGTGTAGTGTTAACGGCGTAACATATTCTATCATGCAATTTCTGAATAAAACATTAATTTTAACATAGTAAGACAGAATATGTTACATCGTGTGCATATTTACCTAATGGCCACATATTTCTTTTGGCATACTGCCACAAAAACAGTAACAATATTTGTACAGTATTTCTGCACATACGAGAGTACACTCGTTCTAATTTGTAGCTTTGTATATACATTCACAAACACACAATTTACATGTCTTATCTCTCCGAGGTAAGATTAATAAAAAAAGTTATACAAACATTGCTCTTTACAGAAGTCAAGCTATTTATTATAATCTAATATACGAAAAATGACTCTGTTTTAAATTTTATTACAAAAAGCTGTTAATGGCAACCCTATCTTAGAACAGCATTAACAGTAAATCAAACCAAAGGTATTGAAATATTCCACAATTCTAATATAGTAAACTCTTTCAAACTGAAATATCACTACTCTGGTAAGATCAAACGTGAAACCATTTGTTCTTACCAGAGTAACAATATATATTGTAGAATATATTCAATCATTTATTTTAATAAATTATCAATATAAAAATGAAATAAAAGAATGTAGAAAACAGTACCTGTCTGTTTTAAGTACATCAGACTCTTGTCGTCGACCGCAAAAAACCCAATGGTTGCACCGTACTCGGGACACATGTTAGAAACTGTTGCCCGATCTGCTATCGATAATTCTGATACTCCGGGGCCAAAAAATTCCACAAATTTTCCAACGACGCCGACTTGTCTCAGGTGCTAAACAAATAAGAACATCTTTTAAATCGATCATAAAATAATAAACAAAAACGAAGCTTTCATTTGAAATGTAACACTTGTTCCTAGGAAATAATATTTGTAAATCCAATTATTATCGATAATTGAGAGAATTTTTTCAAGTTTAGTATACCTCATTGTTTTCTTTCAATCCCATCAATATCCAAATTTATAAATAAAATAATTATAAAATTATTCAAATTAATGAGATTTTCTTCTAGAACAGGTAACTTAGATTTGTCTTTGGCAATTATAATTTTATTTAGTAATCACTTAAGAGTTTTTATAGATCTTAACTTCAAAATTTAGATCTTTATGATTTTGTGTGAGAATTCTTACTTTTGTTATAGTTAAAACGACATCCGTAGAGGTGACAAGCGGATCGAGCTTTCCTGTTAACTTATAGCCGACGACTTTAGGAAGCATCATACTTATGGCTTGTCCAAGCATTACCGCTTCTGCTTCTATTCCTCCAACTCCTGATAAATGATAAAAACATGATTATGGATGTATTTAATTTTTGTGTTACTTAGTTACATGCATATGTAGTATGTTCAAAAAGTTTGCAGAAAAGATTTTTTATTGCCATTTTTATTGACTATGAATACATTTAGACAACATTACCCTCAAAGTATTCATCATCTGCAGCAACACACTTCATCCAGTGGGTGTATAATTTTTTGAAAACATCCTGGAACACCTCATTCGCAACAATCGAAATTGTACTTTTCGCAGAGAAAATATTTCATCTGCATTGACGAATTTTTGGCCTTTCAAGTGTTTTTTTTGCGTGGAGAAAAAAATGAAAATCTCATAGGGCAAACTCCATTAAGTATGGGGATGTGGGAAAACTAATGGAATGTTTACTCGGGTACCTCTGTACAAAGAGAGATCGAAGAGCGAACATCCATTAAACCATATTCCAAAATCCTGCTCTGGTCACATCATGAAATAATGCATGTGCGCACACATCACAAACCGACTGACATCACCACCTCACGTGCTGCGACTCCATACATAGTGCTAAGTATTTTATTTTTAAATCCGAGTCATTCTCTCTCTATCACACATATTACAGACATTTTCCACAAACATTTTGAATGTACCATATACACATATATATTAATCCATATTAGTAAGTCGTAATAAATTTTTAAAACAATTTGTAAGACAGGTATGCTGTTATGTAGCTACTATACAGTAGACCCCCTATAATACGTAGATACATTCCGTTTTATATGAATTTGTGTTTTACGATCACTTAAATACATGAGCCAATCACAGCCTGGCACATATGCAGTTTACGGACTAAGGTAGTTTAAAAGGTTTTCTTGCATAAAATTAATCAATTCTAGACTAATTTGACTCAACATTTCCAAAACATGTATAATTTTTTGGGAATAATCCATATAAACTATGCTATAAACAAAAAAATTGTAGGATTACTTACTGAGAGTGCACCGTTTGATGACACCATTGCTTGAGCTTGTTTTCGTCGTAGAGAGGTGCATCAAACGGCGGGCGCGTTTCTGATAAGTTATTTTTCTGCAAAAACTTTGCTGAACTTTGGAGACATCATTACTATAAATATAATTTTTATGGCTGTTAATTAATAAATGGTTTTTAGTAGGTCCACTGCTCGTTTAAACTCAACAGCTTGTGCAATATCCGTTATTGGTCTAGATTCGACCAATCCTGTCGCGACACGAGTCGGCGATGACGTTTTACCATATTATACAAGTTTCTTTTAGTGTGTTTATACAAATACAATCACAATTTTTTTGCCGTTATATACAAATCCGTATTATATGAACCTGTTTTATAGGGGGGTCTACTGTATTTAGAAACTATCATCCTGTTTTCCCCAAAAAATATCATATCATTGACAAGAATCAAATGTATACAAATGATAGGGTACTTTTAGCATAACTTCTTACATAAAGTAGTACAAACATTGCAATACAATAACTGGAAATCTAGCAGATTTATTAAAGTTATCAAACTAAAAAATTTTCAGAATTTCTCTCTCTCCAAGTATCTTAGATGTATAGATCCAAAGAGAAACTATTCTAAAATTCTCTTAAAAATTAAGTTTTTAGGCATAGAAGTACCATAATATAAATCTACAGCACTCACTATCAGTTTATTAGAATTCTAACTCTACATAGTTGATACTGTAACTTTAGTTCTTTTATCTCTACGACTGATCATAGACCAGAATGTTTTAGAGAAAAGTGCAACTTTTAATTAACTCTTTTAACTAACTTCTTATATGCCTCTCTCCTCACAGAACTAAAATACATTTGTCCCACGTGCATCTGCTATGTGCTCTACAACAGAGCTGGCCGAACCTTGTCACGACAGGAGCCACATGTCAAGATATGAGAACCACATTCTCTATTGAAACTGTACTTTATATAATGGATACGTATTCCTGTATGCTTAATTATTATAATTAAACGAGAGCCGCAGTATCTAGAAGAGCCACACATGGGTCGCAAGCCGCAAGTGGACCAAATGGCTCTAAAAACATATTTCATTTTCCCCAAGATCGTTATTTAAGTAACTTGTTGTGTTGATCAGATATCATTCGACTAACCAAACTCTTCTCACAAGCAAAACGATTGCCGTATTGCATCGGGCTACTTTACCACTACTATTAATAATTAAATTCCGAGTAATTTGGTACCCGAGGTAGGCATTAGATGCCATCTCTAATTACTCAGAATTTAATTACTAATCATAATAGCCCAATTCAATACGGCAATCGTTTGGCTTATTATTAAACATTGAGTTGCGAGATGTTTATATATAAACTCTTCTGATACTAAGAAACACTCTTCAATATTCTCCTCTTCTACAGAATAGTTGAATCCTGTCTTTCCGTAAGTTTAAAGTTTTACTTAATGTTTCTTCCTGTCGAGATTAGTTTTGTTGTATCGTAGCAAATAACAACACACCGCAGCATCTGACAGATTTATATTTATTAAACTTACCCCAACCTACGACGCCCAGTCCGTTTATCATGGTTGTGTGGGAGTCGGCTCCAACTAAACTGTCCGGGTACAAAAGTCCATCCTGATTAAACACCACTCTTGCAAGAAATTCTAAATTAACTTGATGGACTATACCAGATCCCGGAGGAATGATCATCATGTTCTTAAATGCTTTAGCACCCCACTGTGGAAATATATACAATTATATTTCTCATATATTGTTATAAGTTAAACAAGACTATTAAAAATTACCTTCAAAAATGAAAATCTTTCTTGATTTCTTTCAAATTCTAAATCTAAATTTTTTTGAAGAGCATCAGCACTAAAATCAATATTAAAACATTTTATAAAATCTTTAATAATCAATTCAAATCTCCAAAAAAGTATTATTTTACACAGTAAATAATTAAGATGTATCACAATAATGATTAATAAGGTATCTTGTAACCTAAGAATTAAACTAATACTGGACGATTACCGAATTATTGGGCTAAGTTAATAATTATATATGAAATAATTTGTCTAAAGGTAGGTGGTTATGTCCTCAACTCTAGATAATTTTAATTTAGAATCTCTGGAAGAAAAGAATTGGCCCAATGTGAATTAACAGATTGTAAAGCTTTAATCAATAATAGTGTTTGTTGAGGAGTTGTTTATATATATATATAAACAAGTGTACACATACACATACTATGTTGGGGTGAAGCAACAACGGTCTGAGTGCCATGACTTGTATGGTTGTATCTATATTAACAGTTCTGGAAGCAAAAATCAGACAGAGGTTCGGGTAGCGTAACTGGCAATGTATCAAGTTTGAGTCCTGCTATAGGTCGAGCCGATTCTTTTCTTCCAGAAATTCTAAATTAAAACTAATTATAATTATTAAAATTATCACAAGATAGCAGCTTAACAGTCTACCTCTGGACAAATTGCTTCCTATCTAATTATTAACTCAGCCTTATTATAGCTCAATAACAGTCTGCAGTTAATTGCATTGTGTGTTACTAGTATACTTGGAAATGCAAATTGTAAACTAAACTTAGTTTACATGCATCAAAAACTTTGCGCAAAGCTTATTCTCTATGAAGTACTTAAGAAGATTTAATTAAATCGGCACTGCACTACACCGGGATAGAATAATCAAAAAACAACGTACAATGAACCTGTTTCCGGTGTGCTTCTCTGTAAACGAAGTATTACTAGCGCTTTCGAACTTGAAGTTCTTCCTCAGGTAACATGTCCAATCGAACGCCATTCAAATTTGATTGAAAAAAGAACATCATTACGAATTTTCTCGTACGTATCGCTGGCATCATTGACGCATGCGCCCCTTCGCTGGTTCTAAATTAACGTAACTTTTTGTCTACGAGCACCTGCCATGCAGTTGACAGGATGATCTCGTCTTTGTTGTTAATGCAATTGTCGTCNTTATCTAAAGATAAAATCTGAGAATTTTGGTCTAGATACACACGCATTATAAATCATTTACTGTGTTTTTAAAATAAAACAGAATTATTATAATTAAAGAATACAAATGTACAGCATAGTACCACATAATTATAATATATATATATATATATAAATATTTATGAACTAAATAAATACCATAATTTCCTGCAAATAATATGCAAGTTAATGGGCTAAAATTTGAAAAAATATTGTAGATCTATAAATTCCCACTGTTGTCCGTCTGTCCTTCCTTCCTTAAACTCGAGAATGACATTAGATAGGTGAAAGTGAAGACCAGATACAGAAAGCTTAGATGCAGGAGGCCACAATACAATTAACTGTATTTGAACTTGTGACACGTGATTTCAATTAAAAAATTTCTCCCAAATGGAGTTAGGTAGATAACTGGCATGACTTTGTTGTTAACAGGAAAAGTATGATGTACGAGGGCAAGACACTACTAATTTGAGTTCAAGAGCATATACTTTATATTAAATAAATTAAGAATACAATTAAAAATTGCAGCCTGGTATTGTGATGACATCACAATAAATAAATGCTCGTTTGTATTTTAAATTTGATTTCAAATGGAGTGAGACTTTTTTTTTTCCTTTTCTTTTTCGACTCTCCATTTTGTGAGTGGTAAGAGGGCAAGGGAGTGAAAATTATGTACTACTGTTGGTTATTGGTGCAGTTGCTTTAATCAGCAGTTTTTCCTTTGTCTAAACTTACTATGAGCATTTTAAAAAATTTCAAAATATCTTTTACAAGCTGCACATATTCATCCCCATTACAATTTTTCTGGAAATGATCAAAAACACACTTCCCTTGTCTTTAGTCATCTTCCATTTTCTATATGTCAATCTGCATTTTCATCGATACCATTAGACATTTGTGATTAAACTTGTCTCTCAAGAGCCAATAAATTTCTGCTAATTCCTCCTTTATATACAAAGTGATTTAAAATAAATGGGACAAAAAGACAAGCAGTGTACAATTTATGTAATGGATTTATTTGGCAAATGCAAATACTGTATAGCATAAAAGTGCAAGTGTAGAAGTTTTATCTTGCAACAACAAAAATTCTTCTAAATACAAAATCGCCACCAGATGCGCTGTTAATTCAAATGGCAACCTCCTCACAAGAGAAAGCTTACTGTGTGTTGGAATATGCAAAAACTTCATCGCCAATTGTTGTTACGAGACATTTTCGGACCAAATTTGGCAAAGAACCACCTCATCATCATAAGGTAGATGAAGCAGTTTGAAAAGACAGGCTACTTATGCAAGGGAAAAAGCACAGGACAAACACCGGCCAAAAACGAAATGGTGGAAAAGATTCGTGAAACATTTTCACAAAGTCCACAAAATCTACGCATCGTGCCAGTGCAGAACTGAATGTGCCCCAAACAATAGTGTGGCGTGCATTACGCAAGTGTCTACAATTCAAGCCATTCAAATTTCAGATGATACAGGCTTTAAAAGGTACTGACAAACTGTTGCATAGAGCATTCTGTGTGGATTTGCGAGCAAAGCTAGAAGTTGCTGGTTTCGCCAACAGACTGGTGTTTACAGATAAAGCCACCTTCCACTTATGTGGTGAAATTAACTGCCATAATTTACACTTTTGGGGCTCGGATAATCAGCATTTGACACTGTCACACAAACAGGATTCTCCAAAGGTAAACTTTTCAAAACAATTCTCGATGACAGATTAATCATCTCGTTAACAACTAAGACACGCGAATGGCTAATTACAATACTAACATATTATAAACGCTTTCTATTTTTATTGCTATGAAGTGAATTTTGACAACTAAAATAACTATGTTTATAATGCAGTTTAGCAGTTTGGTCTGAAATATTCCGTTTTTCCATTCCACTTATGTCTACAATGAACCGACAATGAAAATAAGGTGAAAAAAATGGAGAAAAAAATGAAATGCTCGAGACAATACCATCTAAAACACATACGGGTTAAGAGAGATTTTCTGAGATGCAGGGTACACGACGGAGGGTTATAAAATGTTTTGATTTAGCAATTTTCTGTGAGGAATATGCCAATGTAGGCTATGCACTACTGCAAATTATATGCAAGAAATTATAGTATAATATTAGAATAAATACGAGAGACGTAACACGACGTATACGATCAATACACAATTCAATTCTCTATGAGATGTTCCTTCATTCACATGAAGGTATTTTGTCAACATAATATGTAGAGTATATATATAAGCGATTATTGCAAAAATTGATAAACTAACATTAAAAAAATCATACTAATTTCCTACAATTTTTGAATTAATTAAATTTTTAATAATTTTAAAAGCTTTCTTAGTTATTTGTTATAAATTCCTTAATGAATTATTTAACATCTTCAACTGTATCAACTTCTGAGAAAATTAATACTTTTTACTTTTTAAAATTAAATATTTTAAAGTCAAAAAGCTGCAAAATAATAATTTAACATACTTTAAAAACTACAATTACCATAAATATTTATAATAATAAAAACTTTATACACAATTTTGTAAGAAATTTAGAGGGTTTTTTTTTTAAGTTTTTCATTTGAATTAAGTAACTTTTATTCCAGATGAAGATGAGTTATGTACATACTCGCAAACTACCATCCGATACGTTGAATAACTTTTAATTTCTTGTACAATTTTAATCTTACGAAAACATCAATGTGAACAGCAATTAACAATGTAAATGTGCTTATTAGTATGTTCTAGCAATTAGGATGTTTGTTTTACCATTGATATTGTAATAATGTGCAATTAAAGGTGGAATACTTATCTGTTAACAATAAAAATAAATATTAAATAGAGAAATTTGAGTGTTATTTCAACCAATGTGCTATTTGTCAATTTGCATTTCTACATATTAAATTTTAAAAATCTTTTTGTTTATAATCGTACGTGCAAAAATTTGGAACTATTTAGTATGATCATTTTTCTGTAAATGGCCTAAACGTGCACCGATGAACAAAAATTGCAACATTCCGAAGGATAATGCAATTATAGATGTAGGTATTGGCATATTTGTGCCAGGAGTAAAAAGTACAGTAGAACCTCGAAAACTCGGCTCTCGATAACCCGGCACTCCAGATAACTCGGCCACACCCTGGCAGGGCAAAAAAATCCTTAGTTAATTAATTTTTATGATAAAGATGGCTTTATGTCTCAAAGTATTTTTCTGAGGTCTGTCTTATCAGGTAAATTACTGTACAGTGTATTCATTAATTTTCATTTTCATATAGTAAAGGCCTTCATAAAAGACCTTCAAAAAATGCCTTCATAAAAGACGTACTTTTCCTTTGTTTAAGGGTATTTTGGCAGTTTATTCTCTGTTGTATTCTCAAGTAAACAATACATACAAGTACAGTACAGTATTTTCTGAGGAAACACTCATACTTATTTTTTTTAACCCCATTCCCGATAACCCGGCATTTTCACAAACTTGGCCACCCTTCGGTCCACATTATACCGAGTTTGAGGCTCTACTGTATTCCAATTAAATTTAGCTGTTCGCCATTCTGTTGATGTACCAATCAAACACATGTGCTAATTGTGTATGAGCATGTGGTTGTTCTGCTAGGGAGACAAAATGTGCACTTGTTTTTTTGTGATTGCAGTCATTTGAGAGGAAGCACATCTTAGACCTCTGAGAGGGTGGGTGGAGAAAAATTGCTTCACATTCTAGATGTGGTGTGTCAGTGATGTTTTGATGTTGGCAAAAGTGGTCAATTGAACATTCCTACACCCATAAACTAGGTTCTGATGGTCACGAAGTACAGATGCATACGAAGACAACACATTCTAAGGGCAGCTGTAAGAGACTACATGGCATTTGCAGTACACATCAGAGCAAACGTGACTCCAGGAATACCAACATGAATTATAGGATGTTCAACAATTTCCCTGGCTGGCACAATCACCAAATCTCTCCCCTATTGAATAGACAAGACATAATAGGAGGCTTCCCAACTCATTCTGTCAGATCATCTACAACTGTTGCAGAATTGCATCACAAAGTGTAAGAGGCATGGGATGATGCATTGAAGGATATTTGCCTTCTATAATCATCTGCATGCAAGAATACAAGTCTCTCTTGATACCAACAAAGAGTGCATGGTATATCAATAAGGTACAGTAATACCTCGACTTATGCGATTTTCAAATCTCGTCGATTCCACTTTTGTTTGAACGCCACACAACTCTTGATTACTCACTTCCCCCACACTATTGTTCAGCTTACATGTTCGGACGTGTTGCGCGGAATTGGCACATAGCTACAATTTATTTTGTTATTTATTTCTGTGTTTGTTATATCTACGAAGACTTGGATTTTACACAAATTGCAAAATTATACCCCGACTTATGCGAATTCGACTTACGCAGTTATCGCTCGGTCCCACCTATCGCGTATGTTTGGGGTATTACTGTATATCGAGTATTGTCGACACACCCTAGACTTTAAAATCATACTATGAATCGATCAGCATACCGTATTTGATCATTTACTGTAACCCAGCTATATTATCTATAAGAGCAATCTTGAGTAAATTGAAGCATGTTCTCGGAGTGTTGCAATTTTGTTTCCCATCAGTGTATTTCTAAGCATTTTAGATGCTTCATTTCAAATTCAATCTTCTCATAAGTTTCAATTTATTTTATAATGTACATTTGTAGAGAAAAAAGTAACTAAAATGCACTAATTCAATATGCTGCTATGATTCCTTGACCACCTTCACATTTATTCTGCACATTCTATTTTTCTTACATAATTATTTTAAAATTCTCTTGAAAATAATTAATTTCCACTTCTAAATCTATTCTTTTATATATTATTATTATTTGATATTCTATAGCAGCACATTTTCTTGTTTCATCAAATTAGTTATTAAATAATTAAAAAAAATTTTAATGAATGTGTTTTCATGTTTAGTTTATGTACACCTTACACAGTTTACATTGTATTTATAAACTTCTCTACTATACGAACAATAAAGTTTTCATTGTTTAACTTCTGAAAATAATCATCATAAACAGTTAGTAAATTTAAATTTTAAAAATATCATAAAAATTAAAAAAATAAACATTATAAATGATAAACATTAAGAATAAGTATTACTAACCCTATAGATTTTAAAGAATGAAATGGACAAACGAAATGTTGAATAGGAAGTTCTGGATGAGGATGCACGATTGGACTTTGTTTATTAAAAATGGAATTGCTATCAATACTTTTGTTAACTGGTAAATTGGATTTCGTCCTAGAGCTATCGTTTGATATCCTCTGTAATGACAAGGGACGAATTTCTGAACGATCGGGTTTCGTGGAAGAACCGGAAAGGGAGGCATCCGAAAACGCCGACTGCTTATGTTGAGGAGAACGTAACGTCCGACATTCACACTTTACGGATATAACACACTCGCAACATTTCAAGGATACATTTACGCGACATTTCCCTCCATTTTGTATACAGTCATTGCAAACAGTTGTTTTGCTTTGATCTCCACCACCTGGGTTTGGGGAATCTCTCAAAATGCTGCAAATTCGGAAAAAAAAAGTATTCTGAAATTTTGTAACAACTAGTTTTTATTATGAAATAAGTAATATATTTTAGAATCAATTTTACAAAATAAAAAGGATTCTGAAACACTCATAACACCTAATATAAAAATAAAAAAATTGTTTCAAAATAGAACAAAAACTATCAACTTGTATAAATTAAACAGAGAATTTTTAAAATTATTTCATAAAACCTCTTAATTATCAAATGTGCACACAGTTTAGAGTGATCTAAGCTTACAAACACATGTCCATATGTTTAGTAGAAGAAAATATTACACGTATATTGCCCCCTAATCATCAATAGTTGCCCAACCATGATGCTTTGAGATTATTTTCTAGTTCATAACTTAAGAAATTTTAATAAAATAAATTGTGTTTTCCTTCATTTTATTATTATACAACAAAAGAAAACTGTCATTTAGAAAAGTTAGAGTAAACTAGTAATAAGTGTCTTCAAAAATTGATAGCCATTACTTAAAAAGCAACAAATCATTTGCAAAGTTTGTTCTGTAGGCATCTAGCGTTACTATCTGACGGCATTTAAAACAAAGTATCTGAATTTTTTGCATTTTTCCGGTTCCTATTGGAGGTCTTATTCCCCGTTAAATGGGCTGTTCTCAAAGTATGACCTGTAGATTGACCCGATCAATTTTCCGAAATGAAATTCTGTCCTGTTTAGCTAAAGAAACAACTATTTTTATGCACCATTTATTTATTATGTTAAGATACTAAACAGAAAAATTTTGGCTTGCATCAAAAGGTGACAAGTGGATGGGAACATGGGTAATCTGCAGCATCAGATTTGCATTCGTCAGTCCACGGATGATATAATTTTGAAAACGAATGCATTTGATCATTGCACTGTTTTTGAAAAAATTCCATGCCAACAAAAAACAATCAAATTTCCATCTTATGAAGTAAGGATTTTGTATAAATGTTCTATTTATTTAAAATTTCAAATGCTCTCTCTCAGGTTAGTAGTAAATAAGTGCTTGCAATTTAAAAGTTTCTCATGGCTCAGCAGTGTAGTAACAGGCAGGCCATTCCAGCACACGATGCTGTGAAATTTATACCTTGAGAAACTTTTCGTTTAATCTGGTATAAATGCAATGGAAAACACATGAATACCAAACATTTCAGAGCAATTTGCCATCTCTCTAAATACAGTAAGTCCTCATTTATTGTCATCAATAGGTTTATGGAAACTACAATTTTAACTGGAACAATGCATTACGAAACTACTTTTACAACAGGTTGATCAACCTAAATGAGAGTTACGCTCTTAAGACACATTTCTGTCCACAAAAAAGTCACCAAACTTCTAAATAAAGACCCAAAACACATCTAATTAAAAATTGAAGTAAATGTGAACTATATACACATTTAAGAAAGATAAGTAAAATAATTATTCATCCAATTTTTGAAGAATCAGTGAGTGATGACAGTTGTAGTAGCGTATGTGGTATGAAGACGAAATAATCCCCGGTGAGGGGATCACTTCCTCTTCATACCACGTACACTACAATGACACTAATTTCTCTATTACACGGCTAATATAAACACGGCTGTGAGATTCAGCCGTGTTTATTAACCTACCGCCTGACCTAACTCGTGAACAATAATAAGTTTCTTTAGAAAGTATCAAATTTCACACCTGGGAGTTAATTACTCAGCCAGTTCTCAGTCCCGAAAAGACGCTTTCACATAACCTTCTGACCTATTATTGCTAACTGTCAAATGAAAATAGCGACAATCGGAGGTTTTCGACACAGTCGCTGCCGTTCCTCTAAAAGAAGCATCCACCAGACCCGTACAATACCTCCTATTTGGATTATTCCGTAACAACGAACTTAAGTGCCTATTTGGATTATACCGCAACAACGAACTTAAGTGCCTATTTGGATATTTCCGTAACCCAGAACTTGGAAGTGACATCGTCAACAGCGGTTTGAAGACCTCGATCCATAAGATAACCTGTCAGGTATTTATCGCCACGCGAATCATATGTAAACTCTCTCTCTCCGCGACCACACTTTATTCCATTTAAATTTTTAATAAACCCTTTGTTGATTGTTAAGGGTAGTTCGAGTCTCTTCCCTATGTTAACTCTGACCTGTCGAATCCGACTGTTCGCGTACGGGACCGCTCGCGCGACGGACGACGAAATCGCCGTCTCGGCTTCCGTGTTCCTCTAAACACGGTGGTGTCAATCCTGACTGGGCACTAAGGAGGTGCCGACCCGGGAGGTCACACTTCCTCTTCATACCACGTACACTACAATGACACTAATCCAAGCCTGAGTCTGGTCACCAAACTTGGGCTCGGATTAGTGTCCAATTAGTGAGCACTGGTGATCCAAGTAACCACACGGATCACCGATGATGAGGAAGTAATCAAGAATGCTTGCAAAGCGAAAATTGCGAGGAGTAACCACCATAAAGCAACTCAAAAACAAATAATTGACCATTCCAACAAACAATACAGCATGCCATATAAATTTTAAAATGGCAAATGCAAACAAGGCAAATTCATTTACAATTTATACTGATGTGGCTATGATGTCTTACATGTTAACATGAATATTTAATTACCTGACAGAAAGCAAGAAGTATAATATAAATGTAGATTGTATTACAAAAAACTTCAGATCAAATTTGCAATCTCCAGCATCTAATTCCCACCTGAGAATTGATTTGACGGTAAAAATTGATACTTCAATTTTACTGTTTACGAAGCAAATTCAATAATAATAATTTTGAAAGATTACAGACATAGTTAGTTTCTCTAGTCCAGTGTTTTTCAACCTGTGGGTCGCGACCCCCTGGAGGGTCACGAAGCCTTACACGGGGGTCGCGGGTAGAAGAAAAAGACAAGTGTTTGTAGGTCTTACACTACATTAAAAAACTACAATTTCAGAAAGAATTACGGCCCATCCCAGAAAATGATAGCGGAAAAAGCGTTGAGCTGATTTGCAAAAGAGAAATAAAAAGTAGAAGCTGAAAATTCTGATCCTAAAGAAAAAAAAATGTCAACAGCTCCCTGTGCCGAATGTTATAATTAAAGGAAGTTTCATACTTTATGTGTGTTAAGTTATTGTCGATTCTTCTGAAATTTTCACTTTAATAAACAATAATTTGTCTCAACAGAAAGAAAATTAAATACATAGTTTTTAAAATCACTGATATAGTTTTAATATGGCCCTAGGGGGGTCGCCAGAATTTTTTAACTTGTAAAGGGGTCGCGTATTCAAGAAGGTTGAAAAACACTGCTCTAGTCAATGCTGTAATGAAACAATGGCCCAGTTGAATAAATAGTAGTAAATGCTTAAATGTAATTAGTAAAAGTATTTACTGTAAGTAAAAGCTTTGAAATAAAAGTACTTACTTTTTTGTGTGTGAATAAAAGTTTACTTTTACTTATTAGTAAATGCTTACACTTTTAAGTAAATACTGGCAACATTATCAAAATGGCATCGCCATGTGAAGAAGGAAGCCAACTGATCCTTGTGAATGTTTTAGAAAAATATAGATTATTATTAAACAAGTCACAGGTTCCTGCTATTAAAAGTAGAGAAGAAATCACCCTTCAACAAATAATTGAAGAACTAAAGATAAATCATGCAATTGAGATGAATAAGAAACAACTCATGAAGAAGCTGAACAACACAAAAACCAACTTAAAAAAGAAGACAGATCTGAAACAGACTGAAAATAATCTGAATGTGCTAAAAGAATGGGTAAAGATGATTTTTGATTTGCTGGGTGGAGAGATGAACCCGACTGTAAATTGTATTGCGGGTAAGTAAACAATAAAGTTATGAATTTGTCCTGATTTAGCATAACAAATCATTGGTCGATGAAGGCCTTTTTGCCGTGTCACTTTCGACTAGCAAATAATTAATTTTTTTAAATTATAGATGCACAGTCTGTAGGAATATCGCCAGGCCCCAGCAGCCAAAACCGAAGTGAGTTTGACAACGAGAAGGATGAAAGGGCTGAAGAGCAGTTTTTTATATTTTCCATACCTCTTCCACCCTCTGGAAATGAAAAGAAAACGTATCCTTCCAGAAACAGAGGAAACTAAACTCTTATCAAAACAGAAAGTTACAACGATTGTTGTTTGTTGAACAACTGGAATACATATGAATGAAGGGGCGACTCAATGAATCACCCTCACCAATTGCCATCGAGTTCCAAATCATCAGAACATTCAGAAACTTTGCAAATCAGTTAAAAATGTTCATATGACAAATAAATAAAATGATTCTTCCTGACAAAATAATAAAGTTTGAGTTTTTCAATCACATTTTTTTAGTTTATCGTTTGTTTGGTTGTATTCACATATAGCAACACAACATAGGGATACTCTTTCGACAGGGAATATCTCATGGATAGTTTTTTTTTATTTTTATGGGAAACTGGCCCTAATTAAGATGTTACTAACTTGAAGAAAACCCAGAAAACTGCATGTGATCGGCTCGTTGGGCAGGCACGAACATACGAGCAACTACCAATATTCAGTGGTTTTAATAAATTCACCCCCTAGTGGACCTTTTAAGGTTATGTATAATTCTTTTATCTTACAAAATTTATTTAGTTTAATCCATTTACATTTTTGGTCTTTTTATTTTGCTATAAAAGCAAAAAAAATCAGAGAGTTTATCGATTAGAGTACAAAATGCCACTGATGGTTTTCCTGATGTCTTTTCCTTGTTTTTGAATTTGAGCCTCGCTTTCCTTGCATGGATCATCGTCTGAATCATCATGATCCTGCAATATTTCAGGGAAATCCAAGCAATCATCATTTAAGTATTTTGATACATTGTGGAGAACAAAGCAACAAATGATTAAAGAAGATACTCGATCGAGCGCAACTCTCATTATATGGGCCAAAATAGGAAACCTGCATTTCACCTGCCCTAAACAGCATTCAATAACAACACACTCCTTCATAAACACTTTAAGAAAGTGTTCT